TATACCTGTTACAATCTGGGTAATAAAATTTACTTTGAAACGGTCATCTAATTTTTTACCTTTAATAACCTTAATTTTTTTAACTTTGATTTCGACTAATACAAGCAAATACGTTTACACCTAACTAAATTTTTAAACTTTTAGACAAAATATATAATTATTAAACCATTAAATTCGGTGAGATTCAATATAAAAGTTTTACGGAATTCCTTTTTGATTCCTGACAGAAATGAAACTAAGAATTGACACCAAATTCAACAGGTTCTTTTACTTGTAAAATACACTGAAAATACAAAAATTTTAACTTATTTGAATCCTTTCAGGTCCGTTAACTAAAATTTTAGCTTCAAATATTCTACAGATTAATATTTGTTCTGACAGTATCCAATAAACTTTGCGAAATAATCAGAAATAAATACAACTAACCTTTGTTTACAATTCATCTCGTGGATGGACCCGATAGAAATCCTTACTGCTAATTACTATTGGGCAATTTGGATGTTGATATCAGTTGGTTTCTAAGAGAACTGTATACTTAAAACACGACGGAATGGAAATCTTCGAGCGACGATATTCTGGGTTGAATGTGAATATTGATGGATACTACAGGCCTGCTTTTGGTGTGGCTTATTTAGTGGTAAAATGGAAATTGGTCTAAAGATGCGTTGCGCTTACGCACTTGCGCTTGCACTAAATTTGCCATTTATGGTCTCTAACAATGAACTTTGATTGACTTGGTTTTACTTGTTGAATGCCAGTTTTTTAAAAATTTCTTTACATAAGGTGGGTTAGTTAGACTTCCTCCGCAACTGAATTATGCTGCGCGAATACGACGGAATTGATGATTGTGTTTTTAAATAAATTTATAATTTCGAACGGTTCGCACGGTTAGACACACAAATATTCCTTAGTGTAAGTAGAATAAATAATCACTATTCTAGTTATCGTAAACCGGAGATTAAATTTTTTATATCGAAACTTCTACGCCCGATCAAAAAGAATAATATACTTTTAACAACTTGACTGCCAGATCGCTAATAAATTAATTTCGGGCAAAAAATCTCTTCTCTGAATTGTTCAGTATTACTTAACGCCCAAGGCTTAATTTCTATTGGTTAGTCATTTGATTTCCACCATTACTAAACAGCTGTTGGGGCTGAATCTTAAATTTGCAGAACTAGCATTTTCTCACAGCTTGATTGCCAATTAGCTGAGTTGCAAAAGTAACTAAAAAAGGCTAATTTACAGAGTGGAATTTAAAACCAGATCAGACAATGAGGCGACCACTAGTAATTTGGAACAATTACCCTACTGATAACTGTGGGAAGAACTCTCACTTTTATTCCAATTGTCAAAATGAAACTTGAAGCTACAATGAACAATATTCCTTTGGGGGAATGTTTTCAGAACCTGGATTACAATCCCGAGATGTAAGTCGGGATTAGACTCTATAATTTGTCCTACCCTGTCCGTTCTTTGTACCAGCATAACTTCATAAACTTAAAGAAAAATTACACGGTCATCGTTTTTTAATCCCAAATGGTCCCATCCAACCGTTTCAAAACTTTGTACCGGAGTTGAAAGGAGAATATTTTGGAAAACAATAAAATCAGTTTATCTGATATCTGAGGAGTTTTTGTGATAGTTTTCATAAATTTTTCGGAATCACCTACGTATTCATAAATAGTCGCTTGTAAGTTTCAAATAATCAAACAATAATTAATAATGACACCATCGTTTTAATAACGAACATCAGATGCAGAAGCTATCATTAGTAGATACTAATAGAAAAGCGTTTCCTGCTCATCGCCACTGAATGCCGAAATGAAAGTCCTAGGATTTAATTTGGTGGTGCTGTTATGCATCGTATATACTTGACATTTCCTAAGTACCAATACGACGTACCTATAATTGCTAGCGTAGAAGAGAAGAGAAGGTAATTTGCGTTTGGTATACGTAATCTTTTTGTATTCAAAAGTAAAGCGCCGCTTTGGGTATTGATTCACGTTTACGTTTCATCACGATTTCTTCTGCAGCAACCTACATTAAATTGGGATGATATATAAAACCAACTTAAGAGGTGTTCGTAATCTGGAAGGTTTGTCCACTTATTCTGAGAGTATAACTGAAGAGCTTTCCCACAGTATTTGCACCAGGCCACCCCGATATCTCTACATCCTCCACTGCGTGCATTTACTAAATTATAGCCCTGCGGCCCGTAATGTTATTGTATAACAGTACCTACCTACCTACTGAAAGCGTCTACCGATCCATTTCCATCTGTTCAAACGCATCACGCTTTGATATTACCCCTAAACCCATTACCAACAAGGCAAAATTTGACGTAGGAGAACGTCATATCAAAATTGAGTTGAATTAATAGGCACAACCGATTACGCGGAATTTTAACCAGAGATAAAAATCAAAATAAAAAACGTCAATTTAAATAAGAGAAAATAAATGGAAGGACTTTTAAATACCGCTGCATGTGAATTGCCGGCAATTTATAACCTTGTAATCAACTTTTTGATCTATCGCCATACTATGCATGCGTATATACCAATATAAAACTGTAAAGAGGAAGAAAAATATTTTAACATTTCGACGGGGTGGTCGAACTGCATTGTTCGTCGGTGATGTACCACAATTAACTTTTTAAACTCGATTTGAGCAAGTCGCAATAATTGCCCTTTGAAATGCGGTAGTAGTCTGAGAGACAATTCGATCGTACGATAAAAAAGTTGTTAGAAAGAAGTTGAAATATTTAAGTTCAACATATTTCGCGAGATTTCATTCAACTTTATTTCTCGCGTTCATTAAATAAAATAATTATTTTTTTCGTGGAAATCCTTTTGATTTTGGGAATCGGGCAGGCGGAACCAGTACATTGTCACTCTTCAATGAAACAAATTTCTTTTTCTGATGTTAGAAAGTGTACACAGTTATCTCGCGCATTAGTGGACTTCTTCATTGTCCTGCAACAAAAGGATAACTTTCAGCTACATTTTGAGGTCCTGCAAAAGATCTGTTACAAAAATAATAGACTGTGGAGTATTCTTAGGCAATTAGCACGTATTAGAAAGTGATTTATAATAACAGTTTTCTTTGTGGCGTACATTAAAGAAACTTCGGAACCACATTTGTATAAATAATATGACTTTTAACCTTCACGACCACGTTAGTGAAATTTGTCATGATAAACTTTTGCTTTTTCGTGAACCTACTCGAAATGAGAGAAAAGTTAGATGCAGGTTTTATAGTTCCTTCTCAATTGCCTTCATTAGTCAAAAAACTACTCGTTCCCCAATTTTATGGATGTTCATATTGTGGCATACTTTTCAAAATTTTAAACGATTTGCAAAGAGCGCAAAACTGGGCAACTAAATACCAGAATATCGCTCATTGACAAAAAGGGAGCAAACTTATTCCTGTAGTTTCCTTTGATGTCTCCACAGTGTCTCCTGTTGATAATCACCCGTCGTCCTTGTATCTTTTCCATTTCTTAATCTTTTTATCTTCCTTTTAAATCAATTTCCTATCTATCCTTGTTTCTACCTCCAATGCTTTGATCTCTTCCAGTATTTTTAGCGCATTTTTTAAGAATTAAAAAAAATGTGTTGTTTGCGTTTTGTCCGTCCGTCCGAACCCACTTCTGCCGTTTTGAACCACTCCTAGGGGAATGGTCCTAGAGTCCTGGAATTTTGTGCAGTAGGTAGCCTATACTTTGAAGGTGTGCTAGACGGCCATCAAATTTCGCTTTCTAAAAGCCCCCCCTCCTCCACGAATTTCCTGAGAAACGTGTATAACTTTTACATACGACGAATTAGTCTCAGATGTTGCATACGCATGCCTTTAGTGATGCCAAATTAAACTTTAGAAAATGGGGGGGGGGGGGTTGTAAACACATGTTCTACCCTTCATGGTATTCCAATGAAGGGTATCATCGAAATTAATTGGTTTGTAGTCATAATTCAGGAACAATCAATAAGTCTGCAAGGATTAATAATTTCTAAGTATGTCAATGTAACAATACCATTAAATCCTTCAAAAGGAATAGTCATATAGAAAATGACGTGGTATTAATTTACAAGTAAACCGTGTAACTCTTCTTCTAAAGGTAAACGGGATCGTTCTGCCCAACAACGAGAAATGAAACAGAAGAGAGAAGTCTTCAATAAAAAATGATACTGTGCGTGACTTCTAGCGGTAGAATAAGAAACTAAGAAGTGAAATCTTTACCGACAATCTATCTTACAGCTTGTGCATTGAAGGTTCACGCCTACGAGGCATTTTGGTAGTACCTAAATTTAACTCTCGGGGGTAATCTGCACATAGGTAAAACAAAGAACTATGAAAAATAATGGGCACTGAACAGCGTATGTTTAATAGACTATGATACTCGAAGGAAAACCAAGGACATACACGCTCTCAATTACAGTGCTAGAGATTCTCCTAAACCGGTGGATATTAAATTTAATCTAAGTTTCAATGCTTGAACACGTCATTCCCTTAGGTGGGTAGCAACAACCTATAAAAATAAAATGTTACCATCCGCGTATGATGCACGACATTTCCATGATTATGACGGTGCTTTTGTTACCTACTTTCAATTCGTATTTTTATAAATATGAATTAGTACTTCAATTAAACCAAGCTATTAATTTGCCAATCCACAAAATAGCAGATAAGTAAGTATGATAATGAATTCCAAGTCTAAACAAAGATTCTATTTTTATGTGATAAAAGCGAAGTAATCTTTAGCGAAGTGAAGAAAATCTAACGTCAAAATCCGCTTTTGTGACGTGAGGCGAGCCTGAATATCTTTTATGAAAATATGAACAAAGTTCCGGATGAAGATCTTACAGCAAACAATTGTGAAAAATAACGCGAACGCGAAATTAAATACTATTGAAGCAGATACCTGACACAGTTCTTATTCTTACATTTCTACTTCAAGACGGCTGATTATTCTTAATCGGTTTAATTAAATCCTATTATAACGTTGCAGGAAGTAGGCAACTTACCGGACGGTGTCCTTTTAGCGGGTGACTTTGGTGAACAGTTTTAAATTACGTTCAATGTCGTATGTTGGTTCTTTATTGATATCTAACCCTGCTCTTTCGCGCAACAGTAGTAAGTACCATTTCAGTGATCAGTGATTCAAGGAAGTTTGTAGATTAAATGACATAAGATGGTATTGTATATTATTACGTGTCTCCTTCTACTTTTGCTGGCACGAATGGGTTTGAATATGCATAGGAAATGGAATAGAAGTTATGTGTGCCTTTTAGGAAAAACGGTCATCGTGACCGGTGCCAATACTGGTAAGTGGACATACAGGATGTCATAACATAACTATAATTTGCACCATATAATAACCCAATATCACGAATATTACCCAAAAAAGGCAGAGTTGTTCAAGGGGATTCACAGGGATGCTTAAACGGTTCATGATGGCACGTGTCATACATCTCATCAAATAACTCTATTCTCTAACCAACATTAATTTTGATTATGGATTGTGGTGGAGGGATTGTGCTTATATTCGAAACAGTAATCAGCTACAAGAACAAATCCTGAAAATTTGAAGCTAAAGCGATCTAGCGAAGGTTTTCTACGTACTGACGTACTTGTCCGTTTCCCGCAGTTTCTTTTTGATCACTAATCATTTCATTTCATTTCATTTTTATTTTTTGTAAAAAACAATGTACAATTGTATTACAACGTCAGACTAACAAACATTTAACATTTTCACATACAGAGAGGTACTCGCCCTCATTGTAAATAACATTGGCCGCTAGGAAACGTCGAATTTAGTTTTGAACTGCTTCAGTGATCGGCTACTTTTTATATTGTTTGGGTTAATAAGTTATAGTATAATATACTGCGGTATGTCGGTGATTTTTTAAAAAAGAGTGTTTCGGTTTGGGCAAATAAATTTTATTTTTGTTCCGCGTATCATGATTGTGAATATCACTGTGCAGGTCATAGTGTAATTTGTTTTGATGCGTGTAGATAAGGCAGTTGTGTAAATATATTGAAAACACGGTCAGTATGTTGTGGTCACGGAATACATTGCAGCACGTGTGATTGTATGATAAGTTAAATATCAGCCGAAGTAACCTCTTCTGTAGTACGAATGCTCGGTCTAAGTAAACAGAGTTTCCCCATATAATTTTGTTATAAGTTAAGATCGAATATGCTAGTGCATAATATGCGTTTAACACTGCATCTTGTCTTAAGGTGCTTTTTAGATTTAGTAGTACATAGTACCACTTATTTAGCTTTTTACATACTTCTGAAATCTGGTCCATCCATGTCAGTTTTTCATCGACTATTATGCCTAGAGATTTTGCCTTATTCTCACTTCTTCTACCGTTTTTCCACTAATGACGATTGTAGTGTCGTCGGCGTAAATAAACAGTTCACCAAAGTTAATAAATTGAGGAAGGTCATTGATAAACAATAAAAAAATTAGGGGTCCGCATACACCTCCCTGCGGTGTGCCGATATCTGGGTTGTACGTATTGGAGATCGATCCATTAGCCTTCACTCGGATGCTTCTCCCCGTCAAATATGATTGAAGCCACTCATTAAAAACTCCTCTAATTCCATACGCTTCTGCTTTTTCACTAACGATAGCAGGATCCACTTAATCGAATGCACCTGTGAGGTCAAATTGTAGTGTGATAAGATTTATCTAGCTCGTCGTAGAGATGCTGAATGAATTGCAAATTCGCGGATTCTGTAGAGAATCCAGGGCGGAAACCGTGTTGTCTGTTAGAGATGATATGGTGTTTGTTAAGAAACGACCATAATTTGCCGCTAACGACTTTTTCGAATATTTTAGCAATGATGCTCAGTACGGAGATGGGTCTGTAATTTTCGACCAGGGTCGAGCCACCTTTTTTGTATATGGGTGTAATTAATGCCACTTTTAAGTGTGCTGGGAATATTTCTTGAGACATTGAGGCGTTGATTAAATCCGCTAGGGGTCTTGAGATGGTTTGGGCGTTTGGGGTTATACCGTCATAATCCGAGGATTTTTTGTTGGGCAATTTCTGTATAATATCAAGTATTTCGCGTTCATACACTGAAGATGCGAAGATAGTTTCACTATTTTTCTTCTTGGATGTAGTGCAAAGCTCCCGATTGGAAATCGTCACTCGGTTTGAGAAGTGACTGCTGAACATTATTGCACACACTTTTTGGGTACAAATTGGGTACACTTAGTTTAATTTCACTTATTTTTGTTTGGGGGTTTGACTGATTTCTATATTTTATAATGTTCCACAGGGTTTTTTGTTTATTACTTGAGCGAGTCCCATAATATGATTGCTTTTCAATCATTATTTGGTTATTGACAACTTAAAATCAGGTCTTGTTCTAAATTTTAAATCACACGGAAGACGAGCTCTGCCCTGTGATTTCCTGCACTACAGAGCGGTTCGCCATTACGAATGTAGATATTGGATCCAATCACGCTAGTGATACGACACAACTTTTGATAGGGCAGTGGTCTTGCCAATGCCCACAGGCTTTGGAATAGCACCGGGCCAAAGTTTTGTACATTGCCAGAATGTAGTTCCAGGGGTACCTACTGCGAATCTGACAGTGGGAGCGGCTCGTGAGAACAAACGGCATTTCGTATTAAAATTGTGCCACTTGGAACACACGTTCCCTAGACCTATTGGAGTGATTTGAGTCGTAGAGCCGGAAGTTCCGTCCCTTAGGATTGAAAATGGCGCCAATTTTTAAAATTTCAGGAAATATATGTTTTTGGAGCGATTTTTCCGTTTAGGGTGACGTTTACGAGGTTTCCGAGGGTGAAAACGACAAAAACAATATCCGAAGCTAATTTCTGTGTGGGAAGCATGATTGTATGATATCTTTAACGTCCGACAGGATTCAAAAGTTTCTTGGAAAGTTTGACCGATTTTCGTGGTTGAGGTGGCGTTTTTGAGATTCTTTTGGGTGAAGATGACCAAAAAAGACCCATTAAAGACCTTTTTCTACAATCGATATCCAAAGTAGGCATTTGCGCTCCTATTTGACAACGCAAACGTCATATTTTTCGAGGAATGTCAATTTGTCGTTTATAAGCGACAAAATAAAAAAAAACGCTCGCTCTCCCAATTATAAGCTATAAATCAAATATACATTGCTCAGAGTATCCAATGACAACGAGTAAATGACATTTAATAATCTATATTTGAGTGAAAAATTTAAATTTTTGGAAATATGTGAACTGCTCGATTGTAGAAAAAATCTTATGTGTAATTCGAGCGCAAATGAATGTTGATTTCAAGAGATTAGTGCGGCAAATGTCTCTTTCAATCAATCAATATATCATTTTGCGCTCTTAGTACACAAATAGCTATTTTTTATGAATTTTTTATTATACCTGAATCACAATCTCCGTTTTAAACACTCAAATGCGTGCGAAAAAAGGCCTTTAAAACACACGTGCTTTAAAGTTGCTAAGTAACGATACTTCAAGTATGACTTTTGAAACTGTCATCTGAGGCTGAAATAAAAAATCCTCTTAGGTCGCTTTCTGTAAATGCAGAACATTTCTTTGGCTTGTACCTATCTTTTGGTTGAAGCTTTTACAAACGCGCGTAATTTAGGGTATGCTTCCAAATCTGTTCCACTTTTTAGTCCCAGCAATAAGTGAAGTTTTGAATGAATGCACCAAAAGATAGAATATTTAAATACCTTTGACATTTCCTTCATATATGCCAGCATTATCGATGCATTTAAGACTTTATTCGTAAGTAACTTCCTATTCATCCATGGAAACAACTTTTCATATGCTTGAGAATAGGCTTTACTGGATTGAGATTTTACACCTACCAACGTTTGTTTAGATTTTACAACAAGCGATGTAATGGACGGAGTATTATCTTTTTCAACGGAAATCGTTTTATTCAGAAAGACGACGATTTTTATAAGCAAACGTCAAGTGACATTTCAATGGCAATCGTGAAATTACGAACACCCAGCCCACTTAATTAGACATGTATTCGAGTATAACGTCAATATGATTTCATTGAATTTCCTATTTTTAAATTATATTGCAGGTATAATAAAAAATACTATAAGATACACGTGTATAATTGTTCTTTAAAGCACTTGCAACGTTAAAGGCACTCCGCTTTGCGTCGTGCCTTTAAACTCGTTGCGCGTGCTTTAAAGACTTGATTATACACTTGTATCTTAATATACTATTTAAGTATTTTGAATAAACAGGTCGAGGTAGACTAAGTGCAAAGGTGAAACTTATTCATTGAATTCGGTTTTTAACTATGATTATTGAAACGTATTTACAAGTAAAAAGTCATAAGTCATCAAAGGGGAAAGCCTCATCATCGCTCAGATCTCCTGCTGCAGTCGAGATATAAAATAGTATATTAAGATACAAGTGTATAATCAAGTCTTTAAAGCACGCGCAACGAGTTTAAGGGCACGACGCAAAGCGGAGTGCCTTTAACGTTGCAAGTGCTTTAAAGACCAATTATACAGGTGTATCTTATAGTATTTTTTATTATACCTGCAGTATAATTTAAAAATAGGAAATACAATGAAGTCATATTGACGTTATACTCGAATACATGTTTAATTAAGTGGGCTGGGTATTCGAAATTTCACGATTGCCATGGAACTGTCACTTACCGTTTGCTTATAATCATCATAATCTTTGTAAATAAAACGATTTCCGTTGAAAAAGATAATACACCGTCCATTAAATCGCTTGTTGTAAAATCTAAACAAACTTTGGTAGGTGTAAAATCCAAATCCAGTAAAGCCTATTATAAAGAATATGAAAAGTTGTTTCCATGGACGAATAGGAAGTTACTTACGAATAGAGTCTTAAATGCATCCCTAATGCTGGCATATATGAAGGAAATGTCAAAGGTATTTAAATCTTCTATATTTTGGTGCATTCATTCAAAACTAAAGCAATGCTGCGATTAAAAAGTGGAACAGATTTGGAAGCATGTAGGGTGCAGGGAAGGCAAGAGGTCCATGTTCCCAGCCCCCCCAGTATTAGAAAAAATGGTTATGACTAATTTAAAGTATTGTTCACGTTTTGTACCATTTAGTTCCAATAACAAAAAATTTTGTTCTAAGCGTAACATTAGATAAGAGCAAGTTGAATTTGGGGGGGCCGATAACACGTCATCCCCCCCAACTTGATATTTACAACTACTTTGAGGCAAAAATTTTGTATCGCTTTTGTGCCGTTTTGTTCTTTTATTAGAAAGTTTTGTTCTTAAATCGTTTGAGAGAGATATGAAAATGAAATTGGGGGGGCGGTAAA